AATTTTGCGTAATATATTTCATAATTTTACGTTATTTATTGCGCAATATTTCGCAACTTTTTGCGCAATATTATGTCTAGACCGTAATTATTGCGCAATATTTCAGGCCGTAATAACTTACGTAAAATTATGTTAATATATTTCGCTGATGTCGTAATTATGTAAAGTAAGTTTCTCTAATAGCTCAATATCAGTATATTCTTTCTCTCTGCAATTTTTTATATAATTATAATAAGGAACACCAAGATTTACAATAAAACGCTTATCTATATGCCATATAATTAATTCCCCATTCACAATTTTAGAATTAAGTACTTGATTACGTGATATAGCTAATGTTAAGCACGGATTCACCACGATCATTGCCATATGAGTTGGTAAAAATGTAGCAGTAATATGGGGTTGTTGTTGAATATGGATGTTATGATAATTATTAATATTAAGTACAAGTGCATTGTTTAAATGCTCTATAAGATGATCCCTAACGTATTCTTCATGTGTCTTTGATATCTTCTTTTTTTTTCTATTTACTGTTCTTGACGTTGTAGTTATACCAATATTTGCCATTGTATTTAGACCCTTGTTACTTGTTCCGGCCGAATCTAAATAAAATGCAAGATCTGATTTAAAGGCATTAATTTGTGTATTGTTTAATGAAGCAAGAAGATAGCAAATAAACACCATAATTTTTTTCATACGCTCCATAGTTTGATTGTTATGTTTCGATGGGCGTGTTGCTAAATACAATTGATCAAAGAAGTAACTTAAATTAGAATCTTGTTTCTTGAGTAACCCCTATAATTCATTGAACTTATAAATTGGTTTTTGTTTTTCTTTAACTTCTCTATGATAAAGAATTTTTGCCATAGACCTTATGGCTTCAGTGAGCTCAAAACTATTGCTCAAATCTGTTTCTTCTATTTTTTCTGTTTCTTCAGCACCTATCTTAATTTAATTTGTAATGTCTTTATTAGTAACTTTTTTTCCTCTTTTAATAGGATTTATCACATATTTCATATAACAAGAACTACAAAGCATCATTTTGTCATGCCACGAATCTCTTACCAAATCTTTAGTTATGACTTCTTGCCATATTTCATCACCTAACTGGCAGAACCTTTTGGAAACAGTTGTTTTACACTCTAAGCATTTTTTAACATCTGCCATTTTGATTACAAACTTTAGGTCGTTGGATTCAGGTGGATTCAATTGATATTTGCTTTCTACAGTACAAAGGCTTCAAGTTTGCTTAGTAATTTATTGGTGCTTAGGTTATTACACAAGCGAGTAATACAAGATGTTCGAAGTACTTTAAAATAATATAAAAAAAAATTTTATGAGTTGTGTAACGTTAAACGATGATCTACATAAGGAGCACTGTCCCTGCTGTTCTAACACCCAATCAATTATGTCGCGAATTAATTCTGAAATATCTGACGTTCTTTGTAGCAATGGAATTTGTACGAAAATCTTCGATATTTCACGAGTCTCCGGGGGATGTGTTAATAATGCTTTTAAATTTTCAACTGATACTGGCGAGTTTTTTGTTAAGGTATTATATCAATTTTCAGCACAAGGAAATTTATTACTTTGAAGTCATTGAAAATGCTAGCAATTCCAATTATATTGAAAATTAGACAAATGATACTCCAAACTCTAAAATAATGTTCGAAGGTAAGCTTGCATTTCTAAATCCCATCGTATGTAATTCTGTTGGAGCATAAAATCTTACGTGTCTTCATTATAAACTTGAAGGTGAAGCAGAATCGTTACGTGCTATCGCGGCTGCTGTTCCAGACTTTACTTCTCAACCTTTATATGTTGGATCTTTACTTAGCGGCGGCGCGTTTCTTGTTACTACTTTCCTTCGGCTTAGTACATCCCATGCAAAAAATGCTCAAATCTTGCTTGGACGAAAGCTTGCCACCCTTCATATGTCAGAATCTCCAAATGGGTTATTTGGATTTCCCGTAGTAACGATGTGTGGAACTACTGAACAAGATAACACTTGGGAAAATGATTGGGAAACATTTTATAAGAGGAGAAGATTGGGTTCGATTTTAGACAAGTGTTTAAAAAAAAATCCTCGGGATACCGAATTACGGAGATTAGGTGTCATTATAATTGATAAAGTTGTTCATCACTTACTTAAGAACGTTGAAGTAAAGCCCGTTTTAATTCATGGTGACCTTTGGAGTGGAAACTGGAGTGTCAATTCGGTTACCAATGAACCTGTTATTTTTGATCCCGCATCATATTATGGCCATAGCGAGATGGAATTAAGCATCATGACAATGTTTGGTAACCCGAGTCGTGGTACTAACATTATTAATAAAATTATCAGTTATGGAAATACTGTACTTAGTGATATGAATCGAAAATCGATTAATCGTTTAGTTGGCTGAGTTGACAACTATCGATTAACTATTAATCGATTAATTGATTAGTTGCTTTTACATTATCGCGATTTTCGAAATGGTTGAAATGAGAAAAAAAAATTTTTTTTCGAGTATACCTGTATACTCGTGGGATTACCTTAGCACATTGATTAAAAATCGATGCTTGATTTACTTATTATTTCAAACAAAGTGCGTATGCATGTAATCAAACATCGGTCTTCAATCAACATGCCAAGGTAATCCGGTATACAAGTATACATAGTTCAGGTATACTAGAGAAAATTTTTGTTTTTACTCATTTCTACCATTCGAAAACCGCGATAATTAGCTTTTTAATCAGATTTATATTCATAAATTAGGCCAACTAACAACTAACGGTTAATCGACTAGTCAACTAATCGATTAGTTAGCAATAATCGATTTGTAATAAATTTTCAGCTAACTAATCGATTACATTTTTGCACTGATTTATAACACTATACTGTACCTAGTGATGTGAGTTGGTAGCTACCGTACCACTGGTAACTACCGGTAGCTACCGGTAGCTACCGTGAGATTGATGCATAAAGTGGTAGATGGTAGGTAATGGTTAGCAGTTTATTAAATCTGATTGGTTGATTACGGCTTGCAATATATATATATAGGTAGAAGAATTAGCTAATCAGAATAAAAGTCTGCTATACTACCACCTACTGGTATATACCAGTAGAGAAATTGTGATTTGGGAGAATTCACATCACTAATAATATTATAAAGCCTAATAAAATAAAGGCAAGACTGCCGAATTTTTTAAAAAAATGCTATACTAATAAGTATGCTTAATTTGGGTTTAAAAATTTGCTTTATTTTGCTATTTGGCTATATGTAGATAAACTAGGCTAGCTAGATTTCACTTCTATAATATATTATCATTATCTAGACTAGAGCTAGAAGCAAAGTAGATTCTATTTTTGTCTAATTGGGCTAGACAAAAGGCTTTGGCGTTTTACTTATTTATGCCGGTAATACAAACCAAAAAAGGAAATCGCATTTGTAAATAAACTAAGAAAGTTTAGGATTAGGACGTTAGGGTTAGCGTTAGGGTTAGTGTTAGGGTTGTGAGCTTTTAGTGATAATTTGAGTATTTTATATGTAAAATTTCATTTCCATTATTTTTTATTAGTCCAAAAAGATCGATTTAAACACTAGTTTTTGAGTATTTTCTTTTTTTTTTGGTGTTTTTCTTCGCTTTGCTCACGTGTCAAGCTGATTCGGGATCATCACATTTTATGTTCTCCGATTGGCCATTTCCTTTTTAGAGGTTTGTATTACCGGCACAAATAAGTGGATGCAAGGCTTTGGTAGTACCATATAATGCTCTATAAAATACTCTGTGTGACAAATAATACAGATTAATTTTTAAAATATTATTTATATATGTTATGTAATACATATAATTATTAATTTTTTACTATATAAAAAATCATATCACACTGGGTACTTTATAGAGCGCTATATGGTAGTATGCTAGACTAAAGATTAGGTGCTATTATTGTTTAGCTATATGGGGCTAAAGTGTATTTGAAGCTAGAATTTTAAATAGGTTTAGGATGTGAAAATTAATCTATATTAGAAGGTTTAGGATATTATTTATTTGGGGTTAGTAATATTATTTGTTTAGTTGTTTTTTTTTGATAATTATATAAGATAAAGTTATTATATTCCTAATTTGTTTTATTGTTTTGTTAGTTATGTCTAATAATATTAAGTTGTTTGATAGAGTAAGCTGGTTTTGCCACAATGTGAAGGTGATTTATTGTGAGTTGGGCTGTACTAGTGTGCTCTTTTGCTGGGGGTGTCTTTGTGCAAACTGTTGGTATAAATTCAGAGTAGGCTAAAAAGGTTAGGTAGTTAGTTGGTTATTGGTAGAGTTTTGGAAATTAAGGTGCCTCAGGTAGTGTTAAAGGTGATAAAGAAGTCAGAAAAGAACTTGGGGTGTCAAAGGCCTGGTTTCTGTTTAGTGTTCCAAATCAAGCCGGCAATTAGGCTCATTTGAATTAGGGGTTGGCTCGATTTTGGCTTGAAAGGCTTGCGAGCCAGTAGTACAAATTATGTAATACAATTTCCACTATTAATTTATTCATACGACACTTTCTTCTATTTCCGCTATTAATGATTAATAGTGAAGATAGAAGAAAGTATCGTATGATGTAAATTAATAGTGGAAATTGTATTACATAATTTGTACTACCGGCTCGCAAGCCAAAATCGAGCCAACTCCTAATTCCAATGAGCCTAATTGAGCCAGTACACTATTTCTGGTTTTTTTTTTTGATCTTAACTGACTAGTTGCTGCTAGTTAGAGTAATACACACTAAAATTTGTTATATAATTAATTACTAGTGTTTGTCTCTTTTTTGTTTACTATGATTTTCAGGGGTTATAGGAAAGAGTTATATTAAAACAATTTTATTGGTAGATAGTTAAATCTATTTCTATAAATTTTTAAGAACAAATAAATTTTTTCTAAAAAGTTTTATATGAGCAACTCTTAGGTGCACCAGAATACCTAACCCTCCCTTTCCTTTAAGTGAGTGTTAAAAAAGTTAGCAAAGAATCACATGATAAATATATGGTTAATTTGTGTGAAACAAAAATAACGCCAAATTCAAAATTCTTTATTACGTGTATAACAAATTGCATTGAAATAAAGCATGCCAATAACCTATAAAGAGCTCCAAGCCTAGCTATACTAATCATGACACCTATTGCAAAAGAAATTGATGAATTCTGGCCGATGCTTCCAGCACTTCTCGTCTCCTGCTTGGTTCTGCAATGTCCAGATCAGCTTCTGGACACTCTCCATTTGGCCATCTTTTAATAACAACCAGACTCTTTTTGTAGTAAGCTGAGCTGAAATCAAATTCATTCCAACATTTTGCAGAAATTACAGTTTTGTAAAATATTAAGTATGGGGAGATGGTGTGAATACCAAATATAGTTTTGATCGGAATTACATCAGTTTGAAGTGCAATTCGACACATATTTCACTTCCACATGTGAGAATTTCAGCCGTTAATTGTGCTTTCCCAAAGCCTTTTTAAAGGAATAAGGGCTGTGTTTTTCAGGTGTTTATCCTGTTAAGAGAGAGTTGTTTTAGTAAACAAATAGAATATTTAACGTTAAACAATCAAAACATACATACTTTACAAACGATCACATTCACGAATTCAGATATGATATAAATTAAAGAAATCAATCAAACACTCATAATTTTCATAATTTCTCATTTAACTCCCAAGGGATGGTTATGCATGCTAGCAACTTGAACTAGTAGATTTATTATTAGTCATCAGTCACATCAAGAATGCTTTGATTTTACTGTCAGAAATTTCTTTAAGATTGTCAACATCAAATTTTTTTTCCTTTAAGTGTTCCAAAATCGATTTGGGAAAGAGTATATTCCTCAAAAAAGCTAGAGACTAAATAATATAGCATTAGGTTCGTTAAAAAAAGAATGCTGAACAGCATAGTTCATACTGTACCTTCTATACCACGTCGCACTTGTGAGCTGGCTCGAAACATACTTTTAGTGCTTGTAAATAGTTTTTATTGAAAACAGAAGAAGTGAGAGGCTGAGTGATCCTGTACTTAGGCTTGGCCTTGATTAATTCTCGTGATGCCGTAAGGGCATCGTCAAATAATGTGGCAGAAAATGAGAAAGATACTGTTGGTTGAAGAATGCGTGAGATAGACGAGAAAACTTTGAAGCGAGACTGACATTTTATGAACTGAATTTTTTTTAATACTATAAATGCTAAATAAAAATTACTAATATCTGAACTAGAGTCACTCAAAATCTGCCTGCTTTACAAATCATAGTTATAAGCAGGATAGGTGTTAGTTGACTTGGCCGGTTAAATCGATCTATTTTTTACTTAATCGTAATCGACTCAATAAAAAATAGAATTAATCGCGTTCTAAATTTATTATTCATAACTTATGTTACAGAACTCCTAATCTAAAATCTAAAATGTTGTAATCTTTAAGTTGATTTTGGTATGCATGAATAGAAAGTATTGCGGCACAATTTCTACCTGAATATTGGCATACAGCATTGCCTAAAGCTAAAATTTGAGCACCGAAATACACCGTAAATTATATTTTATATTTCAGTTTTTGCTTCAGATACGGCATAAAAATTATGGTTTACGGCTTTACTTCATATTTTCTGCACAACTACAAATAGTTCTACATCATGTATAGATTTTTGTATCTTGAAACAATTTAAGTGTAAACAGAATTTATCTTAAATCGTTAACTTGCATCTTGAATTCCTTGATCAATTTGACTGGTCAAAAATCACTCTTAGATTGATGTTTTATTACTTGGCTGAATATGCAAGCTAAGCTAATTTTTACATCATTCGTTGATCGATAATGACTACTAACTATATACTATGTTATAATTTTTTATAAGTTATATAAGTTCAGGCAAAGGTTGAGAAACATGCGAAATATCCAACTTATCAAAAGTCACACCTATTTTTTTTTGGCCAAGGTTATGTTTTATATTTTCATCACTGTATCTACATTTTTGAATAAATTTTCCAGATTTTAAACGTTCATTGGCCGTCTTCAAAAAAAAAAACATAACCTATGCTTATTTCTGCCTTAATTCCAGCTAATTCTGCTCTAACCTTGTCAATTCGGTTTCGAGTTTATGCAAGTTTTATAAAATATTCCAACTATTGCTTTGCGATAAATATTAAGTTTAGTATACCCTAAAAAAAGTTACGTCATTAAGTTAAATTTAAAATACATAATCAATTTTAATCAGAAAATGAACTCTTTTTCTTATCGTTATAATTGTTTATTATACAATTCTAACGAACATGCCAGTATTTCGAAAGTTGTCTAAACATGAACTTTCCAAGGGAGAAATACTTTGAATGCCCTAGAAACAGGGCCCCGAATAATATATATGAGGTTATATCTTTTTGTTATATAGCATTTTATACGTATTGATGTATATTATCTATATTATCTATATTTCAATTATATAGTAGATAATAAATTCAAAAATATATGTTTGCTCATTGTGGCATAGCATGGTCCTAAAAAAAAAAAAAAAAAACAGATCTCTTTTTTAAATGATTATCCATTTTAAAATACGTCTTCACACCCAATACCTAGTTTCCAAATATAACCATATTCGAAAAAAGAGGCATATTGGCAGCTTTTCAAATATGACATCTTATATATATTATTTGGGTCCCCTAGAATAGCAAGAATAAGTTCAAAACGACGATATTAGAAGAAATGAAAAAATTTTCTCGAGTAACAAATAATTTGAACAAGGAATAGCAAATACAATTATTAATTGCATATAATATTATAATCAAAAGAATTGATAATTAAAAACGAGGGCAGAAACTGTTATACCGTTACGGTATAAAAGTTTTTACATACGACCAGATTATTCAAAACTCATCAAAACTGTAATTTACCGGTAAGTAGATTCTCAACATAATTTTGCTTATCCAACGAAAAAAGATAGGCTTTTACTTTAAATATAAGGCTTTGTCCGGAGAAAATTTAAGGGTTCTTTCGCAGATTATATAAAAAAATTATTAAATTTATACGTATAAATATTTATACTTTCTAAGATTATCGATATTACTGTACTGTTGATGGCTTTGTTCGTGCTGCCACCAATTTTATTGAACCCATACGCAATTTTTTTTTAGGCTAATATTTTTTTTTACCATTTATTTAATGTCATACAGAGCTAGTTATTGGGCTGAAAAATAAAATAAAAAATAAAAAAAACAATAAATCTTGAGAGCCAATATGAAATCATATCTGTTAAAGAAACAGTGCGAAATCAGAATACCAGCATATATCAATAAACACGTAATAAGTACTGTGGTGAAAATAGTGCGATTATTTTTGTATATAAAAGTATTAATAAATTTTTCGTATCGGTATTATACATTTAATCTTAGAAAAAAAAGGAACTGTAACTAAGGCCATATAAATGGTGTTCTCAAGCGTCTAAGTCAATCTGTCGGAACGGTCCGAGAGCAAATTTTAATTAGTAAAAAAGTAGTTTAATGAATCAATTGTATTTATTATTCCAATGAATAAAACATGTGATGATAATTTAATACAGTACACTAGAGAGAAAAATTTAATTAGCGGAAGATCGTTTAATCGATCAAGAGCATTTATTATTCCAATTAATTAACAAGGAATAGAGGCCCAGGCATCCTTTTTTTTCATAGAGTTGCGCTTATTGGCTAAATTCTTCATTTGATTGATTAGAAAAATTAATTGTTCAAGTACTGTACTTCTTTCTTTACATTATCATTATGGATCTTCAAAATCGTTACTAGCGCCAACGAATTATTCCTTTATTTTGTAGAAATATATATGCACATTTTAAAGATTTACTTCTTCGAATTCTATATCTGATTTATTTGTCGCTGTAGGATTTAGAAAAAATTGGAATGGTCATTTTTGTTATAGCAACATATAAAAAGTTCATGAAGTCTGAAAAAGAGGAAACATGAAACGAAATTGTTGAAAAAGAAGAAGCAGAACTTGGAATGGTATTCTATCTTTCTGTTTATTCATTGTTTCCATTTTTGTATTTCGAACACAATCGCTAAATGGTAGTAATGATAAAGCGTTTGCTCAAGCATCAATTGCAATCAATATTTTAATTTATCGTAATACTTTGAGCACCATTATGATCATAAACTTATCACACATTGAGGAAGATACATGAGCATGATTCAATTATACTACCATTCGTACTATTGGACTCCAACGATGGTCTGATTAAATATCGCTATAATGGTTGAGCACTATCACAACCACTTAGCTAATCCCATCGAACGTGCTGCTTGAGAACACCTAAAATTTGTTAATTAGTTTCATACATATGAAATACAAAAATTATTTTTAAAAAATCGATAAAGGTTATTAATTAATTTTTTATAACTTGTTCGTTTAAAATAGGAATATGAAATTGAAACGAACTAAGATGTTTAACTATAGTCGGGATATTAATCCTACTTAAACGAATATTATCGTTATGTCGATCTTGCATAACTGAAATTGAAAATTTTTGTAATAGAGATTACATAAAAATGATAAAGAAACGATTTATCACTTAAGCAATCCCACAATTCACATTTTCTTGACCAAATAAATAAATAAGGACAAAGTTTTTTCCTTTGCTCCTTATCCTCTCAAGCCTTTTGGCTAAGATCAAGTGTAGTATCTGTTCTTTTCAGTTTAATATCTGAAATGACTCACACAGTGGGTCTTCGATATTAATCTAATTTTTACCTGCGGGGTAAGGAGTCAATGGCTTGCTACACTCCTTACCACGGGTGTCCCTAGTATTGCACTACCTCTAGGTGACGCTCACTTCTAGATTTAAAAGCGGGTTGGGAAAGGTGTTTTTTTTTTACAGGGTTTCGGGTTTTAAGTAATACTTGGAATGACTAATTCCAAGTCAGAAAGTTGTAGATACTTGATTTTTTTTTTCAACATATCCGGGTTTCGTAAATAAAATACATGCTATGACATAAAGGATTTTAATTCAAAGCCACATGTTATTGGCTTTATAATGATAATTTATAACTAAAAGAAATAATGTAAAATGACTATATAAATATATTGGAGTTTAGTCCTTAGGATTGTTTAAATACAGCATATATTTATACTAGGTAGGAAAAATCTTTTTAACAAACTTGTTCAAACCGAAAAATTTGAATAAACATTTAATAAATAGAAATAAACAGATAATGAAGTGTTTGGCGTATTTCATTTATTATTTGTGGCAGACCAATTGAAAGTGTGAGAGGCAAAGAAAACATTATAAAAAAATATATTTTATTATCGTTATTCTCATTGTTGTTTGAATTTCATGAGTATTAAAATGTGTAGATTGTATTTAAAATATATTTTAAAGTATGTTAAATAAAAAAACTATAGTAATAATGAATTATTTAATCATATATATAAAAAAAAAAAAAAAATTATCAAGATTTTTTTATATTTGAAACAAAATTAATGAAGAAAAATATTATTCGCGATGAATTATGAAACATGCAAATATATTTGCAGTTATATATTAATTATTCCAATTTTTATTTTAACGTTTCTTTGTCCTGCTCTGGGTAAGGTGTTTAAATATAATAAATAATTATATGTAATCAAAAATTTAAATTTATTAATATGAAGTTGCATTATTTCTTATAAAAAAATGTTAAAAGGATGTTTATAATGTAAATTTATTTTCATTTCCTAAATATGTATAGAAATATCAAAGCTTTCAGTTTTTGATCAAACCGAAGGTGAACTAGTTTATAATGTATGGATCGAATACGCGTAAGTGTTCTTTTTATTTACTATGTTCTTAAAAAAGAGACACTATTTATAGTTTTTTAATAAATATGTTTTTATAGATATTTAGCATTAACAGTGTCGGTAATTGGTATGTACATTTTTCTAAACGTTATATACGAATCACTCGTAAAACAATTAATAAAGATCATATATGATATTAACGTTAAAAAATTTGAAATTGGTATTATTAAAATTATTGAATTCCAGTTGGTGTTTATCTATTTTACAGTTGTCTCTTGTTAATTGAGGAGTTATCATGGTATTTCTTGTATGTATGCAATTTTTTTTTAAAAAAAAATTTATTTTGAATTATTATTTGATAAATTATTTACTATTTTAAGGGCTGTGTCATTTTGTTGGCTAATCTTTCCGTGTAAGTGATATTTTTAAAAATATTTTTTTATTTCTTTATGATACTTATAATATTTTAAATTGTCAAATAAGTTATCTACACATATTTTACTCTCAACGAAATGAATGGTGTTCCATTCTTATGCCCGTCAGATTATCCATACAAAACAGAAATAATTCATAGTGCATGTAAAATACGTGTGGCAAATCTATTTTGTATGTGGATATATTTCATACTTTTAGCTTTGCTGTTTCCTGTTGGGTGGTCTTTTATGCGTAGTTTTAGATCACAGCCAGATCCTATGGCAGAAAATAAATAATATTTCTTAAAAAGTATTTATTGTAGAGTTCTTTATTATACTTTTCTGTCATAAATTTTTTATATTAACCTGGATATTTGCATAATTGTACGTAAAAATAGTTTTAATGGTCTAGAAAAATTTATTCAACATTAATGTTTTATTTTACTGATAAAAGTATCGTATATTATTGAAATAAGTAAAAATTTTATTAATGAATGAAAATAGAGTCTAAATTTTAATGTTACAATAGAATAAAACTACATAACAAAAAATTTTTTAAGAATTCCATTTTTAGTTTTATTTTTGTTTATAAAATGTAATATTTACTGTATTTAAATATCATAAGTTAGATAAATTTTATTTTTTTTTCTTAAATCTAGATGCGTAAAATAAAATGTCCAATTAACCTCATTCTTATTACATTTAACCATTATTATTTAATATATTAAATATCTAAAACCACGAATGTTCATTTTAATTTCAAATAAATATTTTTTAAACGAAATATAAAATTAATAAGGTATTCCTAATTAAAATAAATAAATAAATAGTTAAAATACAATAAATAAGAAAAACTGTAAAAATTATTTTGAAAAGAGTCTTACCATTTGTAGCTTTTTGAAAACTATCATACCATACTGTTCTTTTATTCTCAAATGATTGATGTATTTTCACAATCATAAAGTCTGCCGCACGACGTTCGGTTTTATCTAATTGGAATCTTTCCCGTAATCTTTTCAGTGTCTCACCTTTGAAACACGGAAGCCCTGATCCAAGCATTAAACCAACACATTGACATATATTTTCGGCATAAGGTCTTTTATTATATTATAAATATTTGATTAATATAAAAAATTTAATTTATTAAAAATCATACATTTTCAAGCTTATATTTTTACCTTACTGCCAGATATGCTTTGATGCACAGTTCAGAAAACCATTTGAATTGTTGAACATCTGCACTTCCACCCATAACTTGAATCATTTCGGTTGTAAGTTTAAAAGGTGAACTTTCAAAATTAATGCCACCAGGTGCAATATCAAGAATAAAACCAAAGTCTACATATTTGCAAAAATCGTTAAACGTCAACTTTATAATTAAAAAAAAAAGGGCTATACGTTTTGATCTGATCATACCAATATGAATTATGTGTCCTTCATCATCTAACATAATGTTTCCATTATGTCTATCTTTGATTTGTAGTAGAAACGATACTACAGAATAGGCGGCTAAACTTTGAATAAAACTATTTCTTGCCTGCAATTAATGTGTGAAATGATAATTAGTAAGTTTTTTGAGAATAAATATAAAAGTGAATATTAATAGTGAACTTACTTTTTGAAAAGTAACAGAATCCAAACCACCATATTTTGTAAGAAAATAGCTATAAATTTTATAAATTCAATTAAAAAATGTGTTTCTGAAAAACAAAAAGATAATGAATTTATTTAACATACTCATAAAGGCTATTCACTTTTTCACGGCCCAATTGATCTCGAGAAATTGAATTGGGAATAACATCAATGACCCCACACTATAACAATAATTCATTAATTATGTATAATAAATTTTAAAATAATAGCAAATCTATATCTTACCCCTGGAGATGTTGCAACAATTCTGTATGGAAAAAGATATAAATCCAATCCAACACTAGTGAATATATTCTTAAATATTGCAATTAATTGCAAGGCCAATACATCTTGCCGACAGTCGTCACCAACTTTGAAAATTGCAGACTGCCATACATCGACTGTTTTAGGTTCATTATCATCTTCTTCCTCCTCCTCTTCCTCATCATCATCATCATCATCGTCATCTAGATCAATGGAATTAAGGGAATCGGGATGCATCAATTCTTCTTTAAGTTCATCTATATCAATTCGTTCTTTCCGTATTTTAAATGTAGCCATAAAAGGTGCCTATGTATATAGTAAAAAAGTTTGTTAATAAATATTTTTTTATTAAAAAATCTCATAAAAAAACTAACCTTTGCGTGACTTTGTAATGGTCGACCAGATTTATAATCTATATCTACTACCTTTCCATCTGGGTTACTAGGCAAATATACACCTACATCAACTTTTATTTTTGCCATTTCCTCATCAATTTTTGCCTAATAAATTTGTATTAACATTAATATGTTATCAAATAAGTTTAATCATAACTGTAAGAGATAATTATGAAAAGTCAGTTCATAAATTATCTATTAGTTAAGATTAGAATGATTTACAAAAATTGTCCAAAGATATTTATTTTCACCATAATATCCATTATCTGCAACAATAATTATATACCTTTTTTTCTGATTTTGTCTTTTTGATGTATGGCTTAAGTTTACCCGATATAGAAGTAACATCATTGAAAAAATTGAATTCTCTTTCATAAAAGTCCTTATCTTCTCCTGATAAAGACTTTACAATATTTTCGATGATGCGATCTAACGTTGGTTTCAATGAATCAGGCTAAACAATGAATTATTAATAAAAAAAAAAAAAAAATTAGTCAATAAACAAATAATAATATTTATTCTAAAATTATCAACCTACAACTGATGACTCATCATCTTTATACATATTTGCATTCATATTCCATATTATCTGATGTGCAAATAATTGTGATATCTTAGCAGCTCCCAAAATAAACCTTTCTATATAACCTAATTAAAGTAACAATAATTATAATACAGTTTTAACTTATTAGTCAAATAAAAATTTTTCATACCTAGGCTGTCAAATCGTAGTGCTTGCACAATTTGTGGAATATAAAAAAACACAACGTCTACTGGATGATATTCAAGAACACGCATCGCATATTGTAAAACTAAGGGATGATCATTATAAGTTGAAAAGTATGATGCAGCTGCTATTGGAGGAACTGGTGCCCAATATAACAGATACTAAAATAGGTCAAAAGAGTAAAATTAATAAATACACAAATATGACATAAAAAAATTTATAAAAAAATTTACTGTACCTTAAATTGTGAAGTAAGGTTAGGATTCAGCTTATCGCCTAATAATAAGGGTAGTGCATCAGCCACTCGTACAGCATCTGCTGAATTATTGCATAATATTTTATGAACCTCATTTTGAACATTTGTTAGTTTAAATCTGGTTGCTAGTTGTACAGCTAAACTTGGTGATATTGTCCATGAATGACGTATAATGGCTTTCCATTCTTCCTATATTAATAAAAATAAAATGGGTGAATATTATCATTGTGACAAATAATATTTCACTCAAAATGATACAGTAAATTATAATACCTCTGTTAAACCCTTTTCTGCGCTAGGAACAAATGTATCTTTAATTGTGTCTGGGGAATTTAGTGGATTACACCATGTAGCCAAGTTACTTATCTCACTTTCCAAAAATAACAATAAAAGACTCCTAAGCTTTCGAAATTGATTGACAATTTCATCTCTGTTTTTATCTAAATTTAACACATAAAAGCATTGAAAAGAACGTAAATTAAGGGAATAAATGAGTAAGATATAAATTAGCCCACTTAAAAAATCTCAAACTTTCATGCAAATATTTTTGTAAAATTTTTTAAAATATAATGATTATATAATTAATATGCAAACCTTGAGCTGTAGTTAGCGGACTTAGGCCAAACTGAGAATACTTCTTTGGCGTGGTGGATAAAATTTCATTCAACTCAATTTTATCATTTTCAACCAGTTTATGTACTTCAATCAATAGTTTATATTCACTAAACATTGCCCTCTTGTTGCCACCATAAACCCATCTTATAATGGCAATAATATGAAAAAAAAAGAGCAGATAATTAAAATGCAATCAGGCAATTTTTAATAAGAAAATGTTATAAATGTATGAAAAAAAGTACTTTGGTGAGAGAGAAAACCATGAAAAAGCAGTTTTATAAATTCTTAAACGGAATTTATGTTCTATTGATGCCTCCATCCTATTAGATTGTAAAATCCTAAATCCAATTATGAGTATTTGGAATCTACCTTCTCGAGATAGTGAGTGATTGCTAAAGAATAATGGAATATTTATATTAAGAATATATTAAACTGTAACCAGGATTATATAATTATAAATACCTATGATGTTCACAGTTATCAAAAGTCATTTGAAAGAGTCTTACATAAAGATATACTAGTTCATTGCTTCGATATCGGAATGCTTGGAACCGACCAGATAAAAATTGAATCCAGACTAAATGAGGTTCAAATATATCTTTAGCAAGCTTATAATTCTTATCTCTAGTGGCTTTGTCTGTTGGTGCATATTGCATCTTATTCACAAAAGGGTCTTTCATACTAAATAAAATTAAAAAGTCAATTTAGCTACATAAATAACAAAAAAGGTATATATCTTTTTTCATTATAATACTTTAATTGTAGGCATTTTTATTTACTTTAGCGCAGAAGAGAATAGACCCCTGTGATTTCGTACACTCCAGGACCATCCATCTGCAATTTCAACCATAATTCTATGTTCAAATATAGGTTTTTCATTTATTATCCAATTCCATATTTCAGTGCCCAATTTAATGGAGTCTGGTGAAAACAAATATACAGGAATCCATACAATAAAATGAACAAGGTCTTCATCAAGCTAATAAGATGTAGATGAAGTTATATTAACACGAAAATGGTTATTAATAAAAATATCATAACAACAAATACCTTTGAAAACGCAACCAATAAACCAGCTGCCAAATGCAATGTAGAACTAAGTTCTTTTATAGAAACATGATGGTGGTTAAGTATTCTTTTCTCAAGGTGAGCTAATGATATATGGACTTTTCTTGTTTGCGCATCTACTATATCATCATTTATTTTAGCTAGAGAGATATCATGCTTATCTGCTGTAAGAATAATTAATAATTAATTGATCATATAGATGAAAGAATAACATTTAGATATAGTAAACTAGCTACCTTTATCTATATCCGAAACCAACCAATGATGTGCGCCAGTTGCTTGACCATAATAATAACGTCTTAAAGTATAGTCTTTAATGAGCTCTGAAGCATTATCAACAACAGCCGTTGGAATTCTTGGAAATATTCCTATATTTTGTGTAATAATCTAGTTATGACTATTAATTTTAAATGAACTTGTCGACATTAATAATAGACTTTACCTGATTTGTAATCATTTCTAGAAAACCCTTTTGCCATTTCAAACGCAACTGATCGTCCCATATGCACTGGATTGTCTGAATGATGTGTATCATATTCTGCGAGATAATTCTATAATTGTAATAATTATTTATAAATATTCGCATGCCCAATAGCAGAAAAAAGGTGCTTTTGAAAAATTATAATTGTGATCATAATCATACTTCTAACAATCCACGAATTTCCAAAGGAGCACGCGTCATAGCAAGCGAAAGCCATTTTTTAGCATGTTCACATAATTGCGATAATACTTCACGCCGATATATATAAGAATCTGGCAAATCAAGTGTTACACCAACTTTAACAGAAATGAATGTATAAGTTGGCGAATACTTGATAAATTCAATGAAATTTTATGTTTATAACGTTATCATAAATATATATAAATATATATATATGACTTTAAATATTAATTCATGATGAATACCTCATTTGTATATTCATTATCACAACTTTGCCACACAAGTCCAATTAATTCCAATAATAGAAATAGTAGCTTCTTATCACACAACAATGAAGGAAAGGCTGTCATCAAACTGTCAAGCTGCTTAATGGCAAGTTGATGAACTTTTTCGAGGCGATGGCAGGTGGCAATCATAAGACAACGCACTTGTGTGCGGAAATTTTCATTGATAGTATGAGCGATTGCTCTGCTTGTACACTCTTTGATGAAAACGTCAATTACCTATATTAGTTTATTAGTTGAGAGAAAATGAGAAGTTTAATAAAGGAGTAAATAATTTCAAACAGAATTAAAATCGCACCTTATTTCCAATTTCTTCCATGCAGCCAACTAATTTACTAGTATTTACACCTTTATTAACAAAATATCTTAAAATAAATGAGCATTGACCCATCTGACATCTCATTATTTCTATATGATACACCGAGAGTAAGAATGTGACTTCCGCAAATGAGAAATATCTTATATCATATGCACGATTTGGTAGGAAAGAAGATAATGAATTTCGTACATTTGTAAGTTCCTAAAGTTAGCATAGATAATCAATATGCAAAGTTCATAAGAATGTTCAACAAACTTGTTGGAGGTATATCAATAAAACCGAACCTGATCAGAGTTACCTCTGACTAAAACTGAATTATATTCTAAATCTTTTTCTAGATAATTTGTTGCACTCTCTTGAACAAGTGGTGGTGTTTTTTGAGCAATCTCTATTAAACAATCACGCCATTCTCGCATCCATGATTCTTCAGAAACAAAACCATATAACACGCAATGAAACCACATATCACGAAAAAGACTAACTAATTCTTTAGATGCGTTCACATGCACTTTAAAATCATTATGAGACATAAGAGTTTTGAGAACTGGAAGTAATATTCCAATTTCACCTATCAATGATGTGACCTGTTATAAATATTAAAGTTAAATTTTATCAAAACTTATCATTAAAACTGTTAGTCATTTAATGAATATACCTGGAATTTTCCATCCTTAGCAATCGTCTGTTGAATATCAACACCTTTGTCTACAAATAGCGATAGAATATTCAACAAATAAAGTTCATAAAATTCTGGCCTAGCACTAATTCTACTGGCTAAATCCATCTGACATTTAAGAACCTTTATATGATAATAATTTTAATGTAAATTTAATATTGCTAAAAGCTCAACCTTTATAAAATGATAATATTTACCGCACTCGTAATCACTTTGTTATCTGATGATATTTTTTGGCGACTAATCTCAGAAAATTTTCGTACAATTTCCGTAAAAGTTTTATCAGAAGATATTAAAGCAATATCAACAAATTTTTCAAGAATAAGAGCATCTACTGCCGGTGTGTGGTTACGAAGACGCGATCTGAGCATAGTGACACATAATTCAGTAATCTAATTAAAAGTAGGGCTGAATCAGATTAAGTTCGATAATAAATTAATGATAAATAGCTTATATATAAATGTATGTAGTTACATTATCGTCCTTCAAAATACAACCCACTCCAGTAACCGTACAAACAAGATTTTCGCACACTTGCTGACGTTGTTCTTCGTTCCGTGAAATTCCACTAATAGAGCTATGTATAGATATTTGATCTGGTGAAAGCGTATTAATTGGTGCAAGAGTCTTTTTAGGTGACGCCGGTTGCACTGGTGGACGTTCATGCCCACCTGTTGAAAGGCTCGTTAGCATATTATAAATAACAGACGATGTTTCTTGAGGAACAGTCTAGAAATTAATGATATCTAAAATTTTAGAATTAAATCAATTTAATTAGGAATTAAATAAGTCTCTTACCTTTAAACAGTAAGCTAATCGAATAATAGCATAATCTAGAATTGTAAGATTCTTATCGGCAACAACAGCCAACTCAAAAATAGTTGAAGGAGTGGTCAGGAATTTACGAATAGTCTTAATCATATTTAAAGTTGTCTGTGGAAAACTATTTAATTTAATACAAAAAATTAAATATGAAAATGTTTTAAACAATATATCAACAATAATAAATATTATATTTGAACGTTATACAAACTTTAGAGCGAGAAGTGTTGCAGAATCGAGTGCAGCAGCCTGTACTTTTACATCCGGAGTTTGTGGAACATTAAATAATGATGTAGTCAATTTGCTGATTAATTCATCATCAACTTCGTGAAGAAAAACGCTTGCCATGGCAGCGACATCCTTTAAGCAAACCCCGTCAGAAACAAAATTAACTTTTCAAATAATTACAAGCATAAGGAACAATGATGCCTACCAAGCTTGCAGCCATAATTTCTCTGGCATAAAGAGCGGGTGGACAGTCATTGCCTTGAGCAACAAGTTTATCCAAAATAATCGACAATTCCGCAAAATATTGCAAAGACATTACATAGGTCCTTCGCAGAGCTTTCTTTACATAATCAGTAACGGGTAAAGATATTACAACTTTATTACAAACTACTATTCCCCAAACGTCTTTGAATGTCATTAAACCGAACGCATCATCCGGATGACTAAGTACAAATATTGCACGTGTAAGCATGCTTCTCATTACCATGGTAAGACCCAATATGATACCATTAGTAGATAGTGGATATCCTTGAGATTGATATCTTGCTAAGAATTTTTTTATATAAACATGTGCAGGATCTGAAGAATGGGCTATCGTATCAATAATTTTGCCAATTTCCTGAAGGCAATCATTATGAACGAGTGCTTGGGACTGGTGAGCAAATGATTCAAATTCATTGCAATGCCAAGGAAAATTAGATGACTGAATTGCACGAAACAACCCATTCAGCATAGGAAGAACTACGGTACATATATATTCAGCTACCCCCCAAAAAAAATAAAAATAAACTTTAAAACACTTTAAACTAAAAACTGCATAAATAAATAAATAGATAATAGATAAGGTAATACCATCTCCGCACTTAAGCAAGTGAGCCAATCTTCCAAGGAAGGAGCATATATCTTTGAATATCTTTTCTCGATAGGCAGTTGTTTTTGTTGCAATATTCAATAATTCTGATACAATTTTGTCAGAAAGTTGATCCGGTGGCGAAAAGTCTGAAATAAAATCATTCAATATTGGATTGAGAATCTTTAAATTATTTATAAAAAAAAAAAAAAAAAAAAATGAGTGCAATTATATTACCCTTCCATTGAAGATCATCCTCGAAAGAAAAATTCGGAAAAAATTTCAAATAATTCAAAAGAATTGGAAGAATTTTATTCACATGCGCCTCATTGCCTGTACCTGCTGCAAATGAAGCTAATGCTGATATATTTTGTCGATATGACTTCGTCTATGTTTGATATAAACAATAAAACTTTGAACTGGAAATAAAAAACAATAAAAATGTAAAATTTGACATGCTGGCACCAAATTCAAACATACTATAAAGTCGATAGACTGTTGCGGTTTGCCAATGCCAGGATCCTTGTCTGTTGGTAATTCGGGACATCGATTTGCTAAGCGTAATACATCCTCATTCGTTGTATCTACGTCACTACTTAATATACTTGCCAGTTGGTCTAGGATCAACTCATGTAGATCAAAGTCGAGGCTATATAAAAAGTAATACATCAGTATTTATTACAATTCTTATATGATCAGAAATTATGTCGAACGTACCTATCCATCAAGAGTTCTATTATCAAGGAATAATAAAAATTAAAACTGTGAAAGACAAAAAAAGAAAGATTCGTCTTTTTGGAAGGAAATTCGCAACTAGATTAGAAATTGGTTAATTAAGTAAAAGCCGAGCATCCTGTCAAATTTAAATTGGTTGAAGATCATGGGTACACAACAGCAGTGTCGTACCATTAAAGTTAAAATAGTGGATCTATGGACCAATCGTGTGGACTTTATTCGGGCCATTCTAATTGGTCCATATTGATATCGCCTGGGGAACACTACGTAACATTACAAAATGTATTTTTTCACTTCTGGAATTAGCAATTTATTATAGCTTGCTAGATTATAACGTTTGGGACACGAATATATGAATGTAGAAATAGGAAATTAAGTTTTTGTGGAGATAATGTCATGTTAGATGCGTGTTGGAATAAAGAGTATACGTATACGTACGTACCTGTAAATGCCTAACGCTACAATAACAAAAAATTTTAATGCGTCATATACGTATAATAAAGATAATTAACGTCTTATTTAATACCAGATACGTATTGCGGCTGATTTTACGCTAAATTTTGGGTCTCTATTTGGAAGTATAAACCACCAAAATTCAGATTGTCAAAATTGGGCCTTTTATTTAGGCCATCAGATTTAGATTCACACGTGAATAAAAACTTCTGTCTTTTAATCTGTGCACGACAGTTAACAAAACTTCTATAAACCATGCCGGTAAGTGAAAGTCGTTACTCTCACTACTTATGCTGATTATTAAGAATTCGCATTTGTAAATGAAACATGTAGGCATATCATTCCCAATTTAATGAAAGAACTGAATATCGTGTAATTGGTAACATGGTCCTGTTACCTATAAAAACAAAATTTAGAGGACCTGCAACACCAGGTGAGGTTATTTAAGGTTACTTACGTGAATCAAAATATAATACTGTCCTTTTCGCGTCACAATATTTACATCTACTGACTTATTGGCTACAGCACCTCCATCCGACGACGACATTATTGACGAAGCTTTAGATCTCTTTCGCGCAAATTGTTTATTTCGTAACTTTGAAATCAAAGGCGATGCAGACCGAGTTTTAATCTATCTTATTTTGTTCATTTCTGATTGTTTGAATAAGCTCGTTAAGAATCCTTCATCTAAAGAAGCATTAAAGATTTTGAACACTCGAGCAACAGATAATTTTGCGTTACCTGGTGAACCAATGTTTCCACTGAATGCGTTGTATGCTTCTCCGGCAAATAGAAACGACGCAGGTTCATAATTATTTCTAAAGTAATAGTTCTATTATTCTTTTTTTAATAATGGTTTAATATATTATTTTTTCTTAGATCTTCTGCGTCAATATTTAGCTCAACTTCGACAAGAGCTAGCTACCAGATTGGTTGATAGGGTATATGTTGATGGTAAACCTAGCAAATGGTGGATGTGTTTTCAAAAGAGGAAATTTATGAATAAATCGCTATGATAATATTTATTCTCGTTAAAAAGAAAATTAGTCACGATATCAAATAATTACTAGAATATTTATTTGAATTTATAATGGATATTTTATGGGATTTTGGTAGGAAATTCGTATAATTTACATAGTCTTGTATAGTGCAAAAATTGTAATTCCTCATAACTTTGTAGTCACAAAATTTTCGAATACGTTGCTACACTAACAATTAGCATATCAATTAATTGGTATGTTTTTACACAGTAAAAAGTGCCACATATTTGATGCAATTAGATGGCTTTCACGTAATATTTTTGACATACATTTTGTTTAATCATAACAATAACGAGACAAAGTTTCTTGCACTCTAACAAAAAATTACATATAGGTGAATATTGTTAGTAAGTTTAATCGATATCTGATTGGTCTATCATTTTATAAGATGCTAAAAGATGGGACGTCTAAAGCGGAGTAGATTTTTATAATATATATTTTATCAAATTAACTTTAGGGTTATGGTCATATTGGATTAGGGTTAGAACGAGTTTTAGGTAGTTATATATAAGCAAAATTGCCTTCCCGACAATTTTAATTTTTTTCTCTTGATTTGCTTCGTCAAAATTCTATGATTTGATTGGTCGCATGTCACGTGATTCTGCTCCGCTTTAGCACGACCTCCTAATTCTTTAAGAAAAACGGTACAGGTAATATTAGGGTGTCTACATACCGTATAGACCCGAAATAACGCGCGGGGTGTAATTTCAAATTTCGGCCTAAATTAACTTAATTCGGGCCGAGATTCGAAATAACGCCCCTGTGCGTTATTTCGGGTCTATACGTAGTGAAGATACAATTAGATCTTCCGATTTCACCATTTCCTATTAAATTATTATAAAAAAGTGACATCGTTCAAATTTTTATTTCTTTCGAAGTATTTAATATTTTCAAATTCTGTAAACTGTTTATGCTTTATGAAACATACTGTATATCCAAAAAGTAACAACATTATATTTTACATATGATATATAAAAAAGAAATATACTTAAAATAACCGGTGGTGATCATCACCACCCCTAATTATTTTTAGGGTTAGGGTTAGAAATTAGAGAATTATTTTTTTTTTATATAAAATAATATAGACCTACTATAAGGGCCTGTTAGGGCCCGATCTTAGTTCTTGTGAGGTTTTTGGGGGTCCTGAATATTTTTACTTAGAGGACCCGATCCCGTTTACTTAGTACATTTTTGAGATATAGACACCCTGGTGATGATCACCACTGGTTATAGTTAGATTTATTCTATAAAAAAATATAATGATTAGGATTTTATAGTTACTAATATGAGGATTATTTATTTTTTATTTTATTTTATTTTTTTAAATTTAGCAGTCTTGCCTTCACTTTATTAGGCTTTGTAATAATTATCTAAACTATTAAAATTTTCTACGGAGTTATACTCTATAGTATTTAAATTACAAGTGGAGACTCACCCGGTTGCTCACTAAGTACCTATGTGTGACCTGCTATAGTAAGATTCGCCTTTGTATTATCTTATCTTGCAATTGGCTTCAATAATACGTCACTAGATGAATCTTACCGCCCGTCAAGACTACATGTTAATTTTCTACCAATCTGCCTGTTGTCTTTCTTCTATTCACCTTACAACCTCTTTTTTAGTTATCTCTAAAATTGAACCTCATCTTTTATCTTCTTCTTCATTCTTGTTTTTTTCTTTTTTCCTAGTATGTTTATCTGGTGGCTTCTTCTTCTTTTTTTCCTTTCTGTGTGATCTTCTTTTATCTTTTGATATGATTTCATTTTCTTTTTTCTATTCTTGTACTAGTTTGCATCTTGCAACCCATATTCTCACGTAGACTTTTATTAAGCCTCTGATCTATCTTTCTCTTCTATGTGATTCTTCAGCTTGGGATTCCTTTCCTAGCATTATTAAAACTTCTTCTTTGGTTGTCTCCATGCTTTCTACCTTTTTTAATTCCATTAAGGTTGCTTCTACAACTTGCTCTTCTAATTCACAGAGAAGGTTTAAAGAGATTTCACAGCTCACCAAGTGTTCTACATTCTCTTTCTTTTTTTTACATATCACACATTTGTTTGATTTGTATGTTTCTGGCCTTCTTTGATTGAGTTTCTCAAACACTGGAAGCATATTGTTTATACACTTTATTTCAAAAAGCTGTACTGTATTTGATTTGAAAGTATAGTTTCATTGTCTGGTTCCACTTCTCATTATGTTGCGCAGCATGGACCAAGATTAAGTGCTTTTTCTTTCTTGATAAGTTTCATCATGCGTATTATGTAAGAAAGCCTATTCTGTTTTCAATAGCACTCTCCCCAACATTTTAACAAAGGAACAGATAGGCTTTTCAACTAATTTACCTTCCTACATGTATTTTATTTTGTGGCCTTTCGTATATAATGTTTTTGGGTTTAGGTAATCCATTGACTTAGAACCTTCTTTTGCTTTTAAATCTGCAAGATCATTGAATATATTGCCTGAGTGACCCTTGATTTTTATAAAGTGTGTATTGAGCTCTTTTGACTTGATCACCTCTACAATTGTTGTTACCAAACCACAATTCTTAGTCTTCAACCAAGGTCTTATCTTGTCTGTTTCCAGGCCTTTTTTGATTGCCAATATTGCTGCTTTACTATCTGTCCTTATCTCTACTCTTCTTCCCCGGGGTATAGTTAGTAATACAAATAATATTGTTACTATTTCTGCTCTTGTAGATGAGAACTACCTCTTTGTCGCACAAGATATTTGTCGCAAAAGCTGACCTGTTTCTGTAGTTTGAACTACTTCACATCTCATCACTAATTTTTCTCCCCCCTCAGCAGTACCGAGTAAGCCATCTGTATGAAAAAATAAACTATCTAATTCTCTATTTTGTTCTAAACTTTTCACTATTCTAGATCTAATTACATTATTCCGGACTATTCTATTAACTAAAACCATTTCTTAGCATTCACACTCTATACCTATTTTACTCTTCTCTTTTATTCTTTTTATTTCTTTTGCTTTAACAAGTACTTTCTCTTCCTTTTTGCTGACCACCTCTTCTATGTGTCTTTTCCCAAAGATCAACTTTGTCTCCTTTTCTGTATTTTGAACTATGTTTGAAATGTCTCTAAGTTTTCTATATTTAACCATGTAAGTTTTACTTTTTTCATCAATTTCTAATAACTGTTGCATGTCATTTTCATGACAATATGTTGTTTCTTTGTATTTTTTAACTTCTACATAAGCATTTTCTTTTTCTTTAACCTTTCCTACATTGAGTACTGCATTTGCTTCATCTCTCCAACAAACTCATTCTTTCATTCTTTTGTCAGCACTTGGTTCTTTTGTCTCTAAGCTAAATATATTAATGTTATTTGCTTCACAGTTATATCTATTTTTGACTACTCATGTGAGGAGATTTTCTAGCATTTCTCTTTCCAGCCTAACAAACCAGCCTGCTTTTTTTCCTTTTAAACTCATGTCACCTGCAAATTTAACTTGATTCCATATATATATTGTTTTACTATCCTTTGCAATGAGTTGTAAAACCAAGGTTAGACCCAGGCTATTTGTTTTCGTTTTCTCATAAGCTATATTTAGATGCTCAAAGACACATGCGATTTCTTCATCATTCACCTCTTGTGTGATATCTAAGTTCCAACTTTTTGTAATTTCATTTTCTTCTATTACAAAGCCTAGAGTATGTGCTTGTTGCAAAATATTCATTCCTAAATTGCGATCTTTCGTTTCTTTTGCCAATACATTCTGATTTGTTAAAATGCAGTTCAAAGATCTTGCTCTTAACTGGCTTTGTTTAAGTCTTCTTGCTAACGATTCTTCTAACCAGTAGCTCTGATATATGATGCTTCATGTGTCTATTCCAAAGACTTTTGAGATCCGTTATCTCTGGGTGTTTTGTTATTATGTTTGCTGTGTAGAAGGCATCGACATTTTCCATTTTATTAGCCAAATCATTGGCTAATGTATTTTTTCGCACTGTGCTTTAGTTAGACATGAAATCATTAATCTATACTCTAAAGTAGGTATAAGAATTGCATTGTTTATGTATATGATCTGGCTCAAAGACATCTGTTTGTGCTTTAGTAGATCTGTGATCTTGCCTACTATACTTCGTGCTTTGAATATATCAGACTTTTTCTGATTCTTGGTTGAGATCCAGATCTTTAAGAATCTTGTAGTTTCTTTAGAATCTTTTGCTAAAATTCTGATTCTCAGATTACCCATCCAGATTGCAGAATCTTCCGCATGCTTCTTTTTACCTAGTTTTAACACTATAAGTTCAGTCTTGTTCGGGTTTGCTTCAATATCATTTAACTTATAGAACTCTTGTGCAATGTCAATTGTATTTTGTATGCTTTTCTGACTATTTGCCAACCATATTGTGTCATCTGCATATGCTAACACACCTACTTTAATATTTGTTTCATTGTTCTTTGAGATTATATGTGTTTTTGTATTATGCATTTTGTAACCTAGCTCAGCTTTTTGTACTCTACAAAGCAAAGGATCATAAAAAATTCTCCAAACCAAAGAAGACAGTACCTCTCCTTGGTCTATATTATCCCTGCTTTTATGAAATCTATACTTCCAAACTCTGTTATAATGCTAAGCTGCCTATTTTCATATAACTCCATTATTATCTCAATTATTTTTACTAGAAGTTTAATTCTTTCGAGAGCTTTTTTAAGTAAGACTATACTGACTGAGTCAAATGCTTTTTTTATATCCTAAAACGTAACTCAGAGCTCTTTTTTTCTTTCTACTGCTTCTTCTATTATATTGTTCATTATATAGATAGGGGTCGATGTACTTTTTTCAGACAGGTCTGTGAAGTTTGCCCCTTTCAGTACACTATTTTTACTCAGTACCTTATTCAACCTTATTTGAAGCATTCGTGTTAAAACTTTTCTACATGTTTAAAGTAATACTATCCCTTAAGTTGTAGAGTTCGTGTAACAATTTTAGCTTAAAAATAGCATAAATTTAGT